CTTATCAAGTAATTTCCAATCACAATGAACAAACCAAACATATTTAATGTTTCTAGAATATCATGCATACAAAGAAAACTTAAACCAGGCTTAGAACATTCAGATGCTTCAGGTTTTGGACAAGCTATTGCATGTACTGCAAAATGCACAGTATATACCTAACCATCTTCATCATTAAACAAAATATTGCAGGTGTAGAGAAAACACTTATACAGAAAAAAATATTCTACTGGACCAACTTAATTTTTCCAAGTCTTTTATCAAATCTATATTTTTTTTTGTTCACTTGTTGAAACTCATGACATGGGAATACTCACATCATAAGTGTACTGAAGTGTTGAGGGGACTGGCCTGCTATGCACAGTACAGAAACAGAATCAGTTTGAAACCACCAATTCATTCTGTATATTAAATTACTTATCAGAATGTGGCAGTTCAGATCACACACTGGTGGAACTATTCACAGGAAGAGACCTCTAGAGGTCACCTAGTTCAAGTTATCAAAAATATCCTATGAATATTCTTACAATAAATATACATGTATACCTTAAAGGATAAATCCGCATGACATGAACTGTATGTTTTTATTTCCTACTCATTAGATTGGGAATATAGTCAATTAGATAAAACAAGCACTTTCTGTTTTTTTTAATTTTTTCCTGTAATATACTAACAGAAAAACAAAGAAAAGTAATTTTCCAGAAAAGGACAATGAGAATAGTTGTATTTTGTCATGCAAAAGCCAAATATTCTAGACAATCAATAAATGAGATTTATAACCTATGAGTTTTCATTAAAATTTCTGCAAGACTCACAAATGCAACATATATATACTGCTTCCATCTAACCATAACTGAAGTGGAAAAATCTTTGAATAAATTAGCATATTTTGAGTTATGCACCATTGTATTCTTATATGGATAGGTAGTGTGATGGGTGAACCTATCTTTGAGCTGTAACATTATCAGAGTTATTTTCTTACTGTCATTGTTGCCTCATTTGCTAACAGCAATAGGGAAGAAAGGTGGCTGAGAAATGTTCTCCCAATAGATGTCACAAATATGAAGCTGACAATTTAAAGCTACAGTACGTATCCAGGGACGTTTTTATGCGTGCACAACTTCAATTTACACTTTCTCTGATATACAGCTGGGTAAGATAAATGTTTGTCAAAAATTCTTTCACTTTTCTGGGAAAGTATAGTAGTTTTCCAACACACAGTTCTATAGGTTTGTTATTTTTTATAAGCATAATCAACCAAAATGTAAAGATCATTAATATTTACATTTAGCACAGAAGCATCTTTTCTGCAGCAAATGCATTATCTAAGTATTCTTAAAATGGAAATGTGCCATAGCTCAGGGACATTTTTAAAACTGTGAGAGACCTATCAATGGACAGAAGAGAAAGACAGACCACATGTTGAGTGCATGCTTGATAGTCTGTACAATTTATTGTGAAGTACCACTTGTACTAGGCCTGCCACAGAGCCATTGGTTTGAAAGGTTAATGACTGAAGCAATCACAAGTTCAATTTACAAGAAATGGGATGACAGGAAGCCAAATACAAAATGGAAATGTCCTACTGTGATGGCAGCTGAGCAACAATTCATCAACAAGAGTGCAGGAAGATTGTAAAACTAGAGTGCTGGTGACGAACTTTTGAGACTGGGGAGGGCTTCAGACTTCTGTTAAACTCATTTTTCAAGGATAGTATAGAAACTTCAAAATGGCTAAATCACCAAATACAGGCATAAGTTCATGCTTTCTCTAGGTCATCTGAAAGTGCCTGTCCCACCTTCTGTTTTCTTTAGTGTATCTCCTGTATTTTAAATGTTGAGCTTGACTGCTACCAAAATAGCCATTGTCATGACAAGCATTTTAGTGATATTTGGGCCTTTCCTGCAATTACACTCTACTCTTGCATCCTAGAGCATCAGGTATACTACAGTGTGATCTGAGACTTTGTAAGGCTTGCAGGCGTCTACATATACACAGAGATGCTTCTGAGACCCTGTACGCCTTCTGCCTGAATTACATTTTCCTGGATTTGGCATGTAATTTGTCTACACTGGAAAATCAAATCCATGAAAATATCCTTAAAGGTTTACAAGGACAGCCAGTGACAGGACAAGGGGGAGTGGCTTTAAACTGACAAAGAGGAGATTTAGATTAGATGTTAGGAAGAAATCCTTCACTATGAGAGTGGTGAGACACTGGCAGAGGTTGTCCAGAGAAGCTGCAGCTGCCCCATCCCTGGAAGTGTTCAAGGCCAGGCTGGATAGGGCTTTGAGCAACCTGGTCTAGTGGAAGGTGTCCCTGCCCCTGGTAGGGGGGTTGGAACTAGAGGATCTTGAAGGTCCCTTCCAACTCAAACCTTTCTGTGAGTCTATGATTATATATGTTGATAAGATCAACCTGATCCTTCTCTTTCTGAGGCTGATCAGACCCAGCTTTTAAACTTTCCCCACAGGAGAGGTGCTCCAGTCCCTTAGTCATCTTCGTGACCCTTCGCTGGACCCTCTCCGGTATACTGATGCCTCTGTTACTGGGAAGCCCAGAACTAGACACAGCACTCCAGGTGTGGCCCCACCAGTGCTGAGCAGAGGGGAAGAATCACCTCCCTACACCTGCTGGCAATATCTTTCCTAATGCAGCCCAGGATACCGTTTGCCTTCCTTGCCACAAAGGCACATTGTTGGCTCATCCTCAACAAGCAAGGCTGCTTTCTAGCTCAGTGGTTACCAGCATATATTGGTGCATGAAACACAAACATAAAACATACATGGGAGGAGGTATTGGCAGGATAGCATTCAGCTGGATCTGAAAGAAGTGGAATGAGAAGGGAGGTGGCCTGTGGCAGCCAGAAGCAGGTGACTGATTGCTGTCAGGGGAAGAAAGGAATTGTGATCTAGCACCAAATTTTGCAGTAGAAACCGATAAATATAAGAAACAAAACAAACATGAACTCAAGTGAAAGTTTTGAAATCCTTCATTTCTGAAGTCTCTTGGCTAAAGACTGTCTTTAAACAGATTTATAACAGTAGCTAGCCTTGGGCATGCTTTACAGCATTTTTGAAAGGAATTGATAACTTTGCAATTATATTAAATACAAAAAAAACCCTGAAGACCATGCTTATTAATTTTATATAGTCAATGATATTTATACATGCATGTCTTGAATTATCATGTACCGATAAGGAAATGAAACACTGAATAAAGATGTATTACAACTTATTACCGTAGACGCTCTTTTGATGTAAGTAGAACTTACATCTTAGAACACAGAAGCATACAAACACCTGGATTCCCCTTTTCAAAAGTGATAAAAAGGTAATCAATTGAAATACTTCCTTATAACGTATTCTCTTTTTCCATACCTCATATTACACAGAGAATTATAAAGATCCTTCATTTCTGCGAGTCTAAAAATAATCATTCTTGGAGAAACAGACAGAAGGCTTATTTTATCTACTATACTTTGTACCTTTTTGCCTTAGATCTAGGGACATTAGTTAATAATTTGCAATGCCTAGGGAATACTGTCATTAGCAGGGGAATGTTCTCTGGTACCCTGAGGAAATGAAAGGCTTTTAAGAGCAATCACTGTTAATCACTAACACGCCAGCATTATATACCTTCTGGAACTGAGGATGATATATAGACAGGACACATTAAGTGACTCCATATTTTACTTGCATTGTAAGCTTCTGATAAAAATGTATTTTTAAAACATCCTTTTGCATGGCTTGCTTTCATTATAAAATACATGTTAACTAAGAATTCTGCAAGATTTACACTTGTCCTTGTACAAGCTATTGAAAATATTCCTTCTGATTCCACAGTTGACCTTTATTGTCTTTTTAGCATTATTATACTTTGTTACACAATTTCATTTGAATAGTAAATGCCAAGGTCAAGAAGGCAACCCTTTTGTAAGGGTGAAAGAAAAACTAAATATAAAGGTGATAAATGCAATTAAATTCATCTTTGCCTTCAGCTCAGCAGAAGACTTAGCACCTTAGCACAGCTGCAGTATTCACAACTGAGTCCACAAATTACACACAAATTATTCACAAGTATTTCTATTATTCATTTTTTTAATATCAAGTATTTTCTATCCAATGTTACTTGCATGTAATATCCTACAGAATTGTTAATCACATGAAAGAGTAGAGGAAAACAGAGAGAAAAAAACTTTTTTTAACAGGCTTTTTTTTTTAACATATAGTATTAATAAAATCAGGGCACCTCTTAATTTTAGTATAGAGCCAGAATTTAATATTAATTACTAAAACCTTTTTGCATGTTATTTCTCTGCTGTTCTACCCATAGATGCCTCACATATCAACAACAAACCCAGCACCAGGGGACAGCAAGTACATGCTGGAAAAGTAGACAGACTGTACCCATGTACTGAGGTCCTCAGTGGGGATCCCTGCCAACTAAAAATGTTTGGCCTGCCAATAGAATGCAGATATCATATATTGCTATGAATGACTCCTAGTAAAGGGATCAAGCTAATTTACAGATTAAGATTACAGAACTAGAAAGGACTAAAGAAGTCACCTGCTGCTGTTCCCCTAACAAAAAAAAAAAAAATCCCTCTAGCAGTTTAAACCAATTACTTCTTGTGATAGCTACTGTGAACACAAAAATCAAAACCTTTCTTCTTTACCAAACAAATTCTTCAGGACTTATGTTCTCTCCCATTATTGCATTTTTAGACAAACTACCTCAACACAATTTTTAATCTGTATTTGAACAAAGTCCTATTATACTAAATTATAATTATTTTCTTCTGGATACTTTTTAATTTGGCTACACCTTTTGGTCATTAAACAGCTCAGGTGTTGCAGAGTGGTTGTTTCCTCACCTGACCCGACATGCAATATTTAGCTACTGATTCCATGAGCTCCAGTGTCAGTCATTCTCATATTGATGGAAATGCAGTGGCCTATCCGGTAAACAGATGGTAAATTAAAAAAGAAAGTGCTTACATTCTTGAAACCTCTATATAAGATCTGAAGTTCCTTCTTTGTGAATTTACTCTGTGCTTCCAGAAGTTCAAGAGCTTCAGGTCTATGTCGTACTGTGGCCATTTCCATTTCATCTTCTACAGTGTCTGCAGAATACAAGAGATGGAAAAGGAAAGCTCAACAAGAAATATAGGATACAGAACTATCTAATCCTTGCAGAGAAAAAAAAAGTTAAATGACATTCTCTTACAGAACATCTTTTGCAACTTTAAAGACAAATGACATGTTCATTTTAAACTCAGAGGGAAAGGGTACCTGATCTGCTTCTGTGGCTGCACGGAACAGGGAACAGCAATGAAGATCCAGTGTTCTGGATATTATCACATCAGTACAAATAGCAATAAACTGAAAAGCCAACATTCTGCAAGGGCATGCATGACACATTCAGTATGGCTTTTCTGTTTCTATCACTCTCGGAGCAAAGAGAGCAATTTTATTAAACTTCAGTGACTCCAGGATACTAGAAATTTTTTCCTTGATTAGTTAATAGGTGTGAATTCACTTTATCAGACTTGGATTTTCAGTGTCCTCCTTTTACTGTGAAGTTGTGATTTGGAAAGCATGTGAGAATGATGCTGCACATTCAACAGTATTTCAACATTACTTTCAGAATGGTATAACAAAACCTTTAAGGCAAACATGATTATTTGTGGTGAGCAGCCTAAGTGGGGAACAAGATGACTTCACTGATCTCATCAATAGGTGAATAAAAATAGGTTATTCCTATTCAAGTCTTATAGTTGAGTCCAGCCCTAAACAATGAGAGACAGCAATGCATTTTTTCCAGGTAGCATTTTAAATGTGAAAGTTCAATACAATAGCTAAAGAAACTAATAGTATGATTTTTTTTTCTATAGGGTGCCAACAATATGTCTGATAAAAATATGAATGTGCATATCCATCTTAAGTACTCTCAGTATTATTGTGTAGTACTGCAGACTAATCAAATCACTGCCTTATTACGGTTTAAGAGTTATACTGACTATAGAAATGTAACTTGAGACAGCATGTTCAACTGTCACTGTGGGACTGCATTCTTAAAATAAATTTTATTCAGTTCAGTTTTCATAAGAGCACAATATTAGGATACTGCATTAAAACAGTACTATGCTTACATCTTCACGTATTTCTGTTGTGCTACAATGCAGTAATAATAACTTTCAGCTGCTTGGGAGAAATCTGGCATCAGAATATATAGTTCAGTTAAACAAAAAAAAATTGAACACACTAAATAGAAATAATCATAATATATAAACTATTTGGTTAAACCTTCATAAAACTGCATAGCCTTGGGTGGCATGATTTAGTGTGAGGTGTCCCTGCCCATGGCAGGGGGATTGGAACTAGATGATCTTAAGATCCTTTCCAACCCTAACTATTCTATGATTCTATGATGCTATGAGCCAGGGTTTATTTTGCACAGTTCCTAAATCCGTTCCATCATGTTTTAAGGGATTAATCTTTTTATATTCCCTATACAGTCACTGAAGTATCTGTAGCAATGTCAGGCTGCAGATATGCAGCCGATTATTTTATTATTCTTTTGTCAACTGCAAGTCAACACCAGGTGCTTATTCTAAATTCGCAAGAGAATCAATCTGAGAATAAACATACTTGAAGTCACTTATATTTTATATTCCAAGAGTTATATGGAATTTAAATGGACCATTGTTTAGATAGAAGGGGACTTAACTGGAAATGAGCTCCCTGAGCATCCATTCGTGAAACATCTGGCTACCTAGAGAGACATCTACAAGCTTTTCTAGAAGCAAAATGAATACACATAATGGATGCGAGGCTAGAGATAAAGGCCAGACAATGTGATGCTGAGTACAGTGTTTGGCATTTCCTTAATAATAAACATTTTTATAGTGTTTTAATGATACGGTGATAATGTAGAAGACTGCAGTGTGGTGATGATGCTTTTCTGTAATTAAAAGGTTCACTATAACACTCTTTTCACACTCTATTTCTCTAGACTCTGACCGATATAATCAAAAAATAAAATCACCATAAACTTCCTTAAAATGTGCCAAGTATGCAGATTAAAATACTATAGCATTTATGAGTTGCAGGAGTTTAAGTTTTTTCTTCACACTTATGGCTACCATTATCCAGGCTGGGAAAAAAAAAAACACAAAACTATACACATTGAAAATATACAGTGAAAATGTGTGAAAATATATCTACTTCCAAACATGAATGATTTCTACAGCATTAGCAAAAAAATAGTTATTTCAGTTCTGTAGTTTCTTCAGCCTAAGAAAGTTGAGGGTTCTTTATTTATTTTATAGAAGGCTAACGTATGTAAACTGAAAACCAGAAACATGTTCATATTCACTCAATATATTGAACAAAATATTCTTACTGACTGCATTGATCAGTAGCTTTGTTCTAGCTAAATAGTAAGGACAGTTTTTAATGTATTTCCCACAGGAGCTATGCTTTGAACCTTTCATTATTCATTAAAGAACAAAACGAAAAAAAGCAATGCAAAAAGCACACATACGCTTCAAATAATGGCAGCTGGAGAGGCATGTCCAAAGTCAGGCCTCAATTCATATCGTAAAAATTGTGCACATGCATTTGCCTGCACAAAACCCAAATTATAGCTCCCGAATCTAATAACCGCATGCAAACATGCTTTTCCTTTCCAAAACCATTCTTGAGTCTAGTCCTATCTCTAGCACATGCCTTTAGCTAAAGAAGGATGGATTTAAGTTTAATTTTACTAAGCTAAACCACAGGTAACCTTTGTCTGCATATATTCAGAGATGTTAAGAGCAGAAGTGCAAATTCATGCTATTTATATTTCAACAAAGTACTAGTTTTAAAAATATTCCCCTTAAAATTTCTAAGGAATTCACATTAATGTGGTTGTTATTGTAGGTAGCGTTGGCTTCATTCTTAGTACATTATCATGTTGCTTATTTTATGTTAGCAGAAATCAAATATCACATATCAAAGTGGTATAATAACAATGTGTGTCTACAATGATATTCTTATTTAATGTAATATTTTCACTTAGTATAACATTCATACTTAACATAGCACTTCATTATTGACGAGTACATGGAAAAATGTCAAATTAATCTGGTTTTATGTTTTGGTTCTCCAATATGAAATATTTAATACAAGGTGAGGTCTAACCCTTATTACTCAAGTCAATTTTTGATTCTATGATGCCTTTTATAGTCTAAAACTATATTATTCAGGCCTTGTAGCTGAAAGCAACTTTTACATAATTAATTCCTACTGGGTGTCATGACAGTAATGGACCAGGTTAAGCTATCGTATTTTCAAATAAAACATCAGTTGAAGCACCGTGAAAAAAAATCACATCTTTAGTCCTTCTCATCTTTGAGACCTCAAACACTTAGAAAAGAAAGCAAGCACCACTGTCTTCTCTCTAGAGAAGCATGAAAGGCAGTGATGTGGGACAGCAAAGTGAAAGCCTAGATCCATACCACTGAGGTCCAGACACTTAATAGGGTCCTGTGTTCATACCCAAGTTGCCTTGGGTTTTCAAGTATTCACTGGACGTGGGGAACTGCTTCTGGAAGTTTTTTTTTCACCTTTGATTGAGATGCTTTATCAGAAGAGGAACCACATATATAGGCACCACATATAGGAACCACAAGGACCACTGATCTTCTAATTTTAAGTGCTTAGATTAGTGCCTAGAATAAAGACAAATTAATCTAGACGAAATTGGGTACACAGGGATATTTTAAAATCATTTATAGTAGCCAATTTATAAAAGAAGACATTAGTTTTATTACTAAAACTAATCTCTAGGTTTATGCACCTTTGTACAGCTCACTTTCTCCTTCACTCCCCCTGTTTTTATCTGTTAGCTATCCTAGAGAAATGTTACTTCCTCACAGCATATCAAAACATCAAAGGTAGTGTCAGTGTGCTTTTCCTATATCTCCACATTCACATACTTTTTTTTCAATCTCACTATTTTTCTCTCAAATGCAGACTTTAAGTTGCATTCTCTAAATAGTTTAATTTAGTCAAAACCCGCTGAGCCAAGTCTTTCCTCCCAGACTAGTACTGCTGATACTATCGTGTGTATTGGATAGCAAGCATACACAGACACATGCACACACGTAAATGAAAAGATACCACTTTTCAAATACATTGAGAGCAGGTATTTAATTGAATCATTTCCAGAGCATACGTGCCAACCCAGCAGCTCCTATGCAGCGGACCCTGGCTTTGGTATACTGCCATAGTGCTCTGCATAGACAAATCTGTTACCAACCCACAAATCTGTTCATCACTTTATTTTAAACTGCAATAGAGCATACATTTATTTCAGCACGTATCTTGTCTCTCAAATTAGCAGTTAATGAAAGTATGACTTTTGATGCATGCAACCTAAAAAAAAAGTCAAATCAAAAATAAAACTTGCTTTGAGTAACAGGAGAGGTCGTTTTGGCAGCCGAGCAGGGCAAGAGCTTCATAAGTCGCTCTTTAATACTGCGTTTGGCACTGTTCTGAGCGTAGAGGAAACCTAAAAAATATATTATCAGGACTGTTAACACAGGCTTGAGAACAATTTCTGTACATGCTGCAGAGTTCATCATTATGCAGTATCCTGATGGGAAAAGGACAAATAGACTGCAGCCATCCTGAATTGCAAAAGGCAACCAGAATTTTTGAACAGGACAACAAAATTATATTGTCTTTGTATCCTTCCAATTAAGGGGATTTTTTTTTTAATAAGTGTGCATCTCTTGTAAAGTTCTTATAACCCACTTCAAAACAGCAAACAGAGAAGTATCAGATTATGTATTTGAAACAACAGAAAGTAAGAGTGTTCATAAAAATTTTAAAGCTAAAATACTTAAAAGATGAGTTAAGTCTATTTGATTTTGAAGTTTAATATGGAAAACAAAACCAAATAAAATCCCCAAGATATCTTTTGTTGTCCTTTCTAGCAGTTTTCTAGTTCTACAGCTGAGTTTTCCCGTATATGTCATTTGGCAACTGTAATAACCAACCTGGTACTTTTGCCTTTTCTGAATAACAAAATGTCAACCATGATGTGTAGTCAGTCTCCCTTTCCTTTAATATTTGCCATTCTACATATAAACAAAAGTATTATTTATACTTTCATCCTTAAATACTGACATGGCTGAACAGTTAATGTGCATCTGCTGTAAAGCAGGTGAACAGAATTACCCTTACTTATTGTGAAGGAACTCATAAGAGTAACTGCCTATAAGGCCTTGCTAACCATTTTATACAAAATTGGTGATATAAGCAAGCATACTGGATGGATATTTACTGCAAATGACAGATTTAACATCTGTAGAACAGATGAGTAAATTATTTTTGCTCCTGAGAAAGGTAGAGCTCAGTTTGGTTATTACGCATCTCCCTCACTTTTCATATCGATTGCGTGTGCCCAAACGCAAAAGCTGTTCTGCCATGGCTCTTGCTACAGCAGCATGAGTGTAAAACAGATTGAGCAAGAAATCAAACACGTGACTGAAAGCTGCTGTTCTAGCAGCACAGTCACCAGGATAATCCTGGGTTATCCCCAGTATTGCACTTGTGCTGAACACTGGTGTTAGTGACATGATGTAGAATAGCTTCCTTTCTGCCAGCAAACCATCTTGAGAAAGTACATACTTGTATTTGGGAACAGAAGGAGAAAGTGAGAAAGCTTTAAGGTCCAGGAGCCTCAACTCAGAGCGACAAGAGCCACCCAGGGAACCTCAAGTCCTCGACAGGGCCTGCCCAGGAGCCGGCAGCTCAGCTGACGAGAGCGAGCAGCTGAGTCACACAGGGCGGAGCCTGAAGCAGCGGCACCAGCCCTGACAAGTTAAAAACCTGCCCCAGGGAGCGCGGCGAGCAGAGCGGGTCGAGGCAGTTCGCGCGGCAGGTGGAGCGGGATGGTGAGCACGCGGTGTGTGAGCAGGGCCGGTCCGGGAGCTCTGCTCTGGCTGCCCCGGTGGTGGCCGCGTAGGCACCCAGACAGAGCCGGTGAGAGGGGAGGCTGCAGTGCAGAGCTGGGAGTGTAGAGAGTGCCTGCACTGGTCTGGTGAGGGGAGGGTGCACAATGGGCAGGGCTGCACTCGGTGCTCCCTGGTGGAGGTCCTCCTGCAGCAGGGGCTGAGCTGCGGGATGCTGTTAATAGACTGCGAGATGTCAGGGAAGCTGAGAGGAAGCAGGAATGCTTGCTCCTGGCCCAAACTGTGCAGGGGCCTCGAGCTTCACCTCTACCTCATGAAGGAAAGGAGGCTGTTAACCTGGGAAACTGGGAATTAGTAACAAAAAAAGGAGGAAAATTACAACCAAAAACAAGGGGCTTCCCCCTAAATCTGTTGTCCCCACGCAGAACCGCTTTGCTGTCCTGCAGGGGTCTAATGAGGAAACGCACTCGACCCAGAAACAGCCGGCTGATGCCCTGGTAAAGATCTCTGCTGGTGCTGGTAGGAAAAAGTGGCAGTCGTAGTAGCAGGGGACTCTACACTGAAAGGGACAGAAGCACTCATCTGTCGGCCTGACCCGGTCTCAAGGGAGGTGTGTTGCCTACCAGGGGCACGGATCAGGGATGTGTCAGAGAGGCTGCCTGCTCTAGAACATCCCACGGACTATTACCCACTCCTGGTGATACATGTGGGTGCTAGGGATATAGATAGGAGTAGCCTGGGGAACATAAAGAAGGACTACAGAGCCCTGGGGGAGGTGGTTAGGGGCTCTGGAGCTCAGACTGTATTTTCATCCATTCTCCAGGATGAAGGGGAGGACTTTAAAAAAGCTAGGAGGATTGGCCAGGTTAATAAATATTAGTAGGGTGTTGCGATAGTCAGGGGTTTGGGTATCTAGAACACAGGACTCAATTTAGTAGGCCAGGTCTATTGAGGGCTGACAAGGGGAGGAGCGATTTTGGTAGGAGGCTTGCCAGAATGGTCAGGGATGCTTTAAACTAGATGTGTTGGGGGAGGGAGAAATCATTCCATTCCAACACACCCAGTCAGCTGCCAGCACCTATAATTAATGATCGGAGCAATGTAGAGATTTTCTGGCGGCTCCAGCCAATGAGCCAGCTTCATTTGGAGCTCAGCTCAGATGCCTCTATACAAATGCCGGTAGCATGGGGAACAAACAAGAGGAATTAGAGATGTGTACGCATCTATGGGGGTATGATACAGTAGACATCACAGAAACATGGTGGGATGGCTCCTATGACTGGAGTGCTGGAATGGAAGGTTACAGGCTCTTTAGAAAAGACAGGCCTGGCAGGCGGGGAGGGGGGGTTGCCCTTTATGTTAGGGATAGGCTGGAGAGTATGGAACTCTGTCTGGGGACAGCTGAGCAGACCACAGAGAGTTTGTGGGTCAGGATTAAAGGGAGAACAGCGATGGGAGACATTACTGTGGGGATCTGTTACAGACTGCCTGATCAAGGAGGACCTGCAGATGAAGCACTCTATAAACAGATAGGAAAAGCGTCACGCTCACAGGCCCTTGTTCTCATGGGTGACTTCAACAACCCTGGCATCTGTTGGAAGGACGGTAGGGCCCAGCACAAGCAATCCAGGAGGTTCCTCGATTGTGTGGAAGACAACTTCCTTCTGCAAGTAATAGAGGAGCCAACAAGGAGAGGTGGCATGCATGACCTCGTGGTCACCAACAGGAAAGGGCTCGTTGGAAATGTGACGCTCCAGGGCAGCCTTGGATGCCGCGATCATGAGATGCTCGAATCTGAGATCCTCAGGACAGTGAGAAGAGCGTGCAGCAAGCTCACTGCCCTGGACTTCAAAAGAGCACTTTGGCCTCTTCAGGAGCCTGCTTAGTAAGGTTCCATGGGATACAGCCCTAGAGGGCTGGGGGGCCCAAGACTGTTGGTTGATATTCAAGGATCACCTGCTGCAAGCTCAGGAGTGTTGCATCCCAAGCAGAAGGAAGCGCAGCAGGAGGGCCAGGAGACCTCCTTGGATGGATAAGGAGCTCCTGAGGAAAATTCAAATGAAAAAAGAGGCTTATAATAAGTGGAAGCAAGGACAGGTGGCATGGGAAGTATTCAGGGATGTTGTCTGGCAAGCTAGGGACCAAGCTCTCAGAACTGGCTACACAGGATTTGGAGAAGGCTGAGGTTCTGAATGACTTCTTTGCCTCGGTCTTCACTGCCAAAGGCTCTGACTGCGCCACCCAAGTCTTGGAAGGCAGATGCAGGGACTGTGAGAATGAAGACCTTGCGTCCACTGTAGGAGAGGATATGGTTTGAGACCATCTTAAAAATCTGAACGTGCACAAGTCCATGGGTCCTGATGAGATCCATCCGCGGGTCCTGAAGGAGCTGGCAAATGAAGTTGCGAAGCCACTGGCCGTCATATTTGATAAATCGTGGCAGTCAGGTGAAGTTCCCGATGACTGGAAAAACGGAAATATAACCCCATTTTCAAGAAGGGGAAAATGGATGACCCAGGGAATTACAGAGCAGTCAGTCTCACCTCTGTGCCTGGCAAAATCTTGGAGCAGATTCTCCTGGAAGGCATGCTAAGGCACATGAAAAACAACAAGGTGCTTGGTGACAGCCAGCATGGCTTCACTAAGGGGTAATCCTGCCTGACCAATTTGGTGGCCTTCTATGATGGAGCTACAGAACTGATGTACGGGGTAGAGCAGTTGATGTCATCTACCTAGACTTGTGCAAAGCATTTGAGACTGTCCCACATGACATCCTTGTCTCTAAATTGGAGAGACATCAATTTGATGGATGGACCACTCGGTGGATAAAGAACTGGCTGGATGGCTGTAGGCAAAGAGTTGTGGTCAGTGGCTCAATGTCTAGCTGGAGACCAGTAACATGTGGCGTCCCTCAGGGACTGGTGTTGGGACTGGTCTTTAACATCTTCGTCGCTGACATGGAGAGTGTGATTGAGTGTGCCCTCAGCAAGTTTGCCGATGACACCAAGCTGTGTGGTTCGGTTGATACCCTGGAGGGAAGGAATGCCATCCAGAGGGACCTTGACACGCTTGTGAGGTGGACTGATGCCAGCCTCATGAAGTTTAACCATGCCAAGTGCAAGGTCCTACACCTGGATCAGAGCAATCCCAGGCACAGCTACAGGTTGGGCAGAGAAGAGATTCAGAGCAGCCCTGTGGAGAAGGACTTGGGGGTGTTGGTCAGTGAGAAAATGAACATGAGCTGGCTTCAGTGTGCGCTCACAGCCCAGAAAGCCAACCGTATCCTGGGCTGCATCAAAAGTAGCGTGATCAGCAGGTCGAAGGAGGCGATCCTGCCCCTCTACTCTGCTCTTGTGAGACCTCACCTTGCGTATTGTGTGCAATTCTGGTGTCCTCAACATAAAAAGGACATGGAACTTTTGGAATAAGTCCAGAGAAGGGCCATGAGGATGATCAGGGGACTGGAGCTCCTCTCCTATGAAGACAGGCTGAGAAGGTTGGGGCTGTTTAGCCTGGAGAAGAGAAGGCTGCGTGGAGACCTCATAGCAGCCTTCCAATATAAAGGGGGCCTATAGAGATGCTGGGAATGGAC